TTAAAGTGAATTAAAACCTGCTACACTAACACTGCAACTCAGGAAATGCAGTACATTGGAGTGATGTGTCAAACACGATGAAAAAACATTACTAGTAGCCATTCTCAGGCATTCCCGCATAGATTTGAATTTCCTAAATTCCTCTCTGCTTTCTAGCACAGAGCATGACCTTAATCAGTACTAGCAAAACACTTGTGGGAAAGCTCTTCCACCCTCACAGAGATGCATGAAAAACAGACATAAATTTGCATAAATACAGTTACATGTGAGGATTCATATCTCATACATGCAGTCTCTTCAGGACGTAAGCTAGAAACAAACAAGAGCAGGCAGAGGCATTAATGCCAGTATATGTGAACTTGAACTAGATGAAATTTGTGGCAAAGGGGTTTTTTCCATGCCCAAAAGTCTCAACAACTCTAATATTTTGCCAACTTCATAATATCACCTCAGGGAAAAAAAAAAATCTTTTTTTTTTTTCTGAAAAATCACTTTGTAAATGTGTCTGGGTTTATTTCAAAGCATATTTGATTTTGAAATGTATTTTCATTTTTTAAAAAGGTGGTTTTAAATGCTCAAAAATACTAAAATGTTGGTTTTAAAAGTCAAACAAAATATTTTATTAGGCCCAAAGCATTTTCTTCCAAAATTTCCATTCAGCAAAAATGTTTGAAGTTCCTTCTTAAAGTTTTCCAGATCTGCTAGCAAGTCAAAGTCAATACTTAGACAGCTGTAGCATCCACACTGACCAGCTGAAGTCCTGAACATGCTAGAACTAAGCTCATCAGCTTGTTTGCACCTATTCACTTCCTGGCTGTAACTATTCAGTAGAATCAAAGCAGAGAAAAAAGTGTGTCCTAATGACATTTGCTTTCAGTAAGTTCTAAGACTGCTTCTCTCTCACAGGTCAGTTCAGGATCAGTGAAGGTGCATCGGGGATGACATGACACCAACTGGCACACCATGAAGTTCAGTTATGTCTGTTGTATTTTCACCCCACATATGCTACATTATGAAAATTCCATAAGCCTACGAGGATCTTAAGATGCTGCTATAGATTCCAAATGTCATTTATACAGTCTCATTCTAGACACTAAAAGAGCATGATCCTAACCGGACACTATACACCGAATAAATAAATTACAAGACAGATCCAGTCATCAGCTAGACACATACCTTTCTCAAGTCCAGATATTTGATTTTTTAGGTTGTTTCTCTCATGTGCTGCATCAATTTTCTGTTCCTCTGCAGCACGCAGCTTATTCTGGAGAATCTCTCTTGTTTTGTTCAGCTTCGAAATTTCAAGGCGCATCTGAGCCACTTCCTCTTCTCTGGCCTACAGAACAGCAATAAAGAAAGGAGACAGAAAGTATCTACAGAAAGAAAATGCCTCTGTACTTGGTATATACTTATTCCTTTAAATTCAGGAAGCAAAGGTATAAGTGCCATGGGTCACCTGAGAGAAGGTAATTAGCTAGTTTAACAATATTAAAAATAATTTATAGCAAAGCCAGCTAGGGCAAGGAAAATTATGATCCAGTCTTATGCTTTAAGGCTGAAGACGATCAATAAAGAATCCCTAGCTGCAAACCTTGCACAGCACTCCCCAATTAGTCCTGCAGATTAAACATGGGCAGCTCTAATTTCCTTTGAAGTATCAGGGACAGTGACTGCGATAAGAAAGATATCTGTAGTGTGGTCAGATTGCATGTCCCTAATAGCAGGTATCTGTTATCCCTATCTCTTTTATAACCTATGGCTTTAAAGAAAAAGTAAAGCGTAGAGTTCATCTCATTTGCTATGCAATCAGAGGAGAAAATAATCAATCAAAACACTGCATAACTAGTTATGAAGAAACACGACCAATAATCACAACAGAAATGAATCTCCTTCCTTTTAAGAAGCAAATATAACTTCCTCATACAATTCAGTGCCACTGTTAGGCTTTACAGCCATCACAGACTACAGTGTTCAACCTACAGCCTCAGATACTGATTCTGCAAGATGGTGAATCTTACTTATGTGAGTATCCTCTAGGAGAGTGTGAGCATCCTCAGTTCTTACTAACAATAACCTTCAACACACATAAAGTACTTTCACAGTTCAGTGAACACCACAGTGGAGGCACTCAGCATGATGCAGGATGGAACTGCAAGCACAATACCTACAAAAAGGGCATCTCAGATCATGACTGGGGCTCGTAGAAGCTTTAGCAATTGGCTTAATTAGTAACTAAGCATTAAGTTATATTTTGTTTTGTTCCCTGAATTCCATGTGTATGATTCTACAAGTTCCATCAACTTGAAGTTAGGATAAGATCATAGAATTGAAATCTTTCTTTTGGCACTCTAAAGCCCCAAATGAAAGTCACAATCAAACACATTATAAAGTTTTCAACGATGATGGTATTGCTAGAAGGAATGACAAAACCAACTAAGCATTAAGTTATATTTTGTTTTGTTCCCTGAATTCCATGTGTATGATTCTACAAGTTCCATCAACTTGAAGTTAGGATAAGATCATAGAATTGAAATCTTTCTTTTGGCACTCTAAAGCCCCAAATGAAAGTCACAATCAAACACATTGTTTGTAAAGTTTTCAACTATGATGGTATTGCTAGAAGGAACGACAAAACCAGATAATCTGGAAAAGACAGTAACTTGGTTTTCAAATAGGTAAAAAACAATATCCTCCAGTCTGCCTAATAAAAAACAACAGAAAACAAGCTCCTGCCATACAGTTCATTAAGGATCAGAATAATCTGTGTTTTAATGTCAAGGGTTAGTTTTTTAGTTTTCATCATTTTGACTAACAGTTGCCTTTTTATTTAGGTGAATTGATTACACTTGACTAAACCGTGATAATTTTTCTCTATCTGAATGTTTAGTGTTATAACCCCAATGATGGCACAAAATGCAAGATACAGTAGATAGAGTAATAACATCTAACACTTACACATTACTCTTTATCACAAGTGTTCTCAAAGTACCCTAAAAAACATATGCAGGAATCATTTAATCCTTCCCCAGCTGAAACTCACCTGCTTCTGAGTGGTACAAAACAACTATTAAACAATGTAAAGTCAGGCAAGAAAACAATTTATATCAGCAAGTAAACACCATCTTAGTTACATATATTTCATTTCCCAACTGATACTGGGGAACAGGGAATTTTAGTGTTGGAAGCAACTCCCTTCAATGGAAGCTATCCAGGAAACTGTCATCACAATTTATTAAGATTTGTCAAGGGTTTTGGCAACATTCAGATTATGTTAATCACTGTAAGCAAGAAAGTCATTGCTCTTATCTGCAGATCTCACTATCAAAATAACCATCGTGCTTGTTCAAAGTACCATGCATCCTTTATGAACATAATGTATTGAGCAGCTTGGTTTATGTGTTTTAAGGAAGCACAGCTCCTCCAGCAAACAGGTGCTCCACTGTCAGATGACAGGGCTGGCGTCTGCACCATGCTACAGCCACAGAAAGAATAGCATCCAGTGACTGCTAGATCTATTCCTAGAAACTCCTCAGCTGAGTGCCTCAGTACAAGAACTGAGGTCATCCGTGACCCAAGCAGTAAGACCGCCATCAGAGGAACACAGCTGATAGCATACATGCACCTTCTGGTACTTACTTTCAGTTCTGCTGTCTTCTGCTGCATGTCCTGCATCACCTCTTCAAACATCACATTGTGCTGCTCGCTCTCTTGTATGAGCTTACTATTTCTCATCTGTAGTTGCTCAAGTTCCTTACCAGCTTTTTCATTCAAGATCTGTTAGATTAAAGAACAATCCTAGTAATTCTTTTTAATCTCATTATAATATCTATATATACATGAAGGCAGAACCTTCCATCTCCCCAGGAGATAAAAGCTGCTACAGATTGTTGGCTGCTTAAAACCACTCTTCATCGCTGATGAAATTACTAATGTGAAATATGATACATGCTCATATTGACTATGGGAAATGATAATTTCTAATAAATAACTGCCAGTGTAATTTCAAAATTTTCTTTCTGGGAGGAAAAAAATGGAAAACATTTAGCAGGTCTCTCTTGCAGGTGATAGATAAATATTTTACTTCTTGTTAGGCATTTGGCAAGCATCACGTAACACAACGTGCTACACATAATTGCTGAAAATGAGTATGAGATTCAAATTACTTCAATCAGCAGAAGGCAGGGAAGCTCTGTTTCTTAGCAAGCAAATCCTACATTAATATGCTGATTACATTTCTCTGGGTACATGGTTTACTGAGACCAGGACACAGCCATTTTCCTCTCTAATTTGTCATCAGTCAAAAGCCTGCAAGAGGCAGTTTCATGGTTTATGTGGAGAACATATACTTCAATACTGGAGTTGCCAGCCTTGTCTTCTGCTTTATGGGACTTCTCCTAACAGATATTACTCTGTAAGTGAGGAAAGAAAAAGCATCTTATTTTTCACTTCAAGCATTAACATGTGATAAACTGATGAAGTCAATATGTACTATGCCCTTACAAACATTCAAAGTGGAATCTCCCTCTTCTGAACCCCTGCAGAAGCTAAGATAATGTAAAAACAAGGAATACCATCTCCTGTTTTGCAAATGTCAGGATAACACTGTATTTCAGGCGACTTTTTATTGAGGCTTGGCCATGGGTGGGATGAAGCCCATAGTAGCTGCATCGAGCCATCTTCACTGTCTTGCAAGCAAGCCAAACTACCATTCAGTTGAGAAAGAGTAATCCAATGACATTGCAATAGCTGAGTCACTTTCTCTTACAGATCTCTGCTCTGGCTCATGCACAGCTGGATAGCCTGTGTTTTGGACAGCTTATTTGCAAAAGACAATGCAGGGCATCCACAGACACCTTCATGCCAGCACAGGTAACAAAGACAATGCAAAGTCTGATTAATTAGCCTAGACACAGAACTTTATGTGAATTACTGGTTTCCAGGATAGTTTGGACAATTGAATGGCCTTAAAATCTGCTGTTAGAAAGTTTGAAAGGGACTATAAAGAGGAGGAAGAATGGAACAGAACCATGAAACGTAGGTATCCTATTTTAAAAAAATGTGATTGTTCTGGTAGATCATGGAGCTGCCCTCAAAAGCTGCATCAAATGAGTGATATTCAGAGAAAAAATCAAGTCTTCTCCGTAGCTCTTTAGATGAAGTATTTTACTAGTATTCTTTGTTGACAAAAAGTTGTCACAGACACCTACCTTCACAAATTCAGGTACCTGAAGGCGGAAAAAAGCTATAAAAGTAATAAATTTACAAGATACACACAACTCCCAAAGACGTTTCCCTTGAGGTAGGACTGGTTTACAGTGATGAGATCTCTTCTGCCATTTACTGAAATTGCTTCTCTGAGAGTTTCTTAAAGTCAGGGGAAATGGACTGAAAACCTGAAAATTCAAACACTTGCGGAACACTATGTTAGGGCATTTCCAGATAAAGTTTTTAGAAACAGAATGGAAAAAATCAATCAAAAAGGTTTACGAAGACAGTTCTCTGCTCTTTCACGGAAACTCTTCCCCAAGCTTGAGAGGTAGATAAAAATTATTGTGACAGTCAAGAAAGAAGGGGTTGGAGGTAAAATGACTTTTTTACCAATGCCACAACAGTCAATCCGTGGCAAAACTGGCAATATACATCAGAAGTTCAACCTGGCAGTCTCCTGTTACTATCATTAGATCATCCATGCTTTTCATAGACTGTGTCTCATTTGCTGTGATCTTTCCAAGGCCATCTCTAACGATATCATTGTGATCCACCACTGGTTTCTGTGAAATCTATCTGAAATCTTCCAGCATGCTTTACATATTTATTTATTAGTAAACTAATATTTATATTAAAATAATTATTTGCTAAAAGTTATTGATTTAAAATAATCTCCCTTTCCCCTCAAGAAATTCCATTTTCTTCTTATTTTAACAGCTTAGACCTCATGCATACAGTGTACCATGTACCCTACCTTCTGCTCTTTTAGGTGCTGTTCCATTTTCAGTTGTTCCTCTTTATTCCTCTGTATATCTTTCTGTAAATTCTTTATCTCAGTTTGCTTATCATCCATTTCAGCTAGAAGATTTTTCAGCTCCTTCTCTAGTTTTTCCTTCTTTCGAGCCTCTCGTGTTACCTCATTCTGTTGCACCTGGATGTCTTGCTGAAGCTGTAACAACAGAAAAGACAAAGGTTTTAAGTTCTGCTGCCTCTTATTCAGGAAAACAAGGCCTCTCACCTCTCTTTTCACTATGCTTAATTTTTAAAACAAGAGTTTCTATATTAGTGTACCCACTACTACATGTAATATGCCAGATCTTCTCAGTTCTCTACATTAGGGAACCTATTCATTGATGACAAGAATTTATTAAGCACCAGTCAGTTCATCCGCACAGAAGAACTTGACACAATTCAGGCAAAAAAGCATTCCTCTGGAGATGCAGTGGCACAAATGTGTTTTTGGTTGTAAGTTACTTGTAAAGGGGTACTTTCTGCATGCAGCATTAAAACTAATTAGGGCTTGATATTGTATTGCAAGGATTTTTATTTTTCTGTCTCACCAGCAGAAACACTTATTATACTGATATTCAAGGAAAGAGAGAGATGTCAGACCAGTGTTCATTTTCACAACTGCTATCAATCTTCTGTTCTCAAAATTCCTCTGTGGGAACTTTGAAAGAGGAGCTTCCTTTCATATATAATAGACTTGTCTTGTGACTTCTGCTCCCTCCCTCCCCAAAAATGTGATGGAGCAGAATCAGCAGAGAGGAGACACAGGGGGTTGATCCACATGGAAATTTTCAGTTCAGCCAGGGACCAGCAATTGTAAGATGTTCTTTGCTTGAAGTTTCCTCTTCTTCTGTGCCCACAGATGAAAAGTTGCCAGAACAGACGGGGTCTTTGACAGGATCTTCAGAAAGACATTGTCATTTAAGCAGTCTGAAGTAAAGAATAATTTCTCCAGAACTGGGAGAATGGGGGGTAGTTACAAATGCTGTAACTATCCTGTAAATTTAAGGGCTAATAAAGTGAGTATCAGAAGATTAAAGCTGGCAATATTCAGTAAGTTTTGATGGGAGTTTCAATCCTCTCTCTTTTCTCCCATGCCCACAATTCTGTCAGAAAAGCAAAGATTTATGTTGTCTTGTAATACACTCCCAGCCATCTGCTTTAGAAACAGATGCTGTGCACAAAACCTAGAATGATCATTACTTTCCTATATGTGATTAATAAAAACCTGTAAATCAAATGCTGCTTCTATCTCTTCTCTGTTCTTTAAGTGTTCTTTTCTGCTTTTCTTTTCTCCTGTTGTCTTGCTCCAGCCCCTATTTATATTCTGCTTTAAATTCTTTCATTCCTCATTATTTTGTTTTTATATTTTATGTATCAGAGTTCTGCATCCCATTTTCCATTCTTTTCTACTTTCTCTCCATTCAGTGGCTATACTATTGATCCTCAGTCTTCTGTATCTCTAGCTTCTATACGCATTTAAAGGAAGCTATACAGATTGATCAGTAAAGTAAAACTGTCTACTCAGATGGTCAGGAAAACAGAAAACCTAACCTAAAGAGGAGACAAAAAAAGTAAAGCTGAGATGGAATATGACTGCTCTTTACAGACAGTGGTGAGGTGAAAAATTATTTAAGCTGAGAAACAGTAGGCAGGAATCAGTGTGAAGAAAAGTAGGAGGTCTCTAACCATAGAAAAGTGATGTTCTAGAAAAGCTTCCCATTAAAAAAGCAGGGGAGGAAATAGTTTAATTAGCTTTGAAGTCAGAATTTGATACATTCTTAAAAATGATGGTAGGCACCATATGGCAACCACTGCCAACAGCAAGGGACCTAGGATCTCTATTCCAGGTCTACATTCCAAATGGTTCTTTGGAAGCATAAGGATTTACAATGCAGAAAAGTCCCTGACATCTCCAGTATGAAAGGTAACAATGATTCTGGAAAAGGAACCTTGGCCTCATTCAGGCAATTGGGAAGCTATGGAAGCAGCTGGTACATGACATTACACTTTGCAAAGGACATAACCTAGGAGTAGAGAAAAACATAAAAGTCATTCACAATAGACTCCTTTCTGAGCACTCCTGAAAATGTTTGAGGTGTGAAAGAACAGGTAGTAGCATACTAGTCAAAGGAGATCAATTGCAAGTGTGGAGAATGGTTAAGGATAAAGCCTAGAATCACCACCTGGTGATCTGTACTGACCTGCATAATGGATTGATCTGCCTCATTTTTTGCCTTCTCTGTAGCCTGCTGCTGTTCTGTGGCTTGAGTTAGACTTTGACGTAACTCCACAACTTCTGACAACAGTTGGTCTCGCTCCTTTGTTATCTCTTCTTTATATTTTAGCAAATCCCGGATACTGGAAGCAAGGAAATAATAGCCAGGCAGTGTCACAGGCCATTTCTGTTCTTCCTGCTATGCCAGACCAAGATCTTTTGTGAGAAACAGCAGTTTTAAAGTAATCTGTTTCATTTTAAACTCCTCTTGGATTAAGGCTCTGCTGGTCAATTGAGTTATATGCTGTCTACTGTGGATGCAGGCACCATCAACATAAGTAGCCTTAAAGCTAACCTAGTCCAATAAATCACTCTTTCTTGTTATATCACACCTCATGGATATGAAGAAACCTTTGGTTTCCCAAAAAGGTATCAGGGAACAAAATTCCTTTTCCTCTGCCTATTGCGAAATTACTAGGGGACCAAAAATGTCACATTGTTGTAACCAGTCTCTCTGTAGCTTACCTGACTGGGCACCTAACTAAGTTATGTCTTATAGTACCTAATGTAAGAATAAACCAGTCTCCCTTGTTTGGATGCATTTTCAATCTGAAAGAAAGTCGAAGCAGTGCGGCTTCAAGCTCAACCTTAAAAACCAGCCTTCTAGTTCTAAAAGACTAAAGCACTTTCAGCCCTATAGGGCTGAAAACCTCCAAAGGAGTTGTCTAGTCCCCTTGTCACTGGACAAAGTATTTAAGCATGGAACTAGAGGGAAATACAGAAGGAACTTTAAGAAGAGATTTTAATTAGGCAGGTCTCAGCAGCCTGGGCAGCAGCTGGAAACAGTAAGCAGCTCCTGGCTCTTGCAGGAAAATGCTACAAGCAGCCACAGAGAGCTGCTTTCAGAGAGTTATGCTGGGGGAAGGCTTAATGACCAAGCATTTAAATCCAAGGAAACCTGTTACACAGGCCCAGAACATTTCAGGGACAAAAGGTGAAGGAGTGGATTTTTCATGCCTTCAGGTGGTTTATGTGCTGGCAAATTCCTTCGAAGGGAAATGTTTGAGCACACTAAAGGCCTTGCTCACAGTAAGTCTTGTTTATGCAGCCTGGGTATGCAGTGCATGGGGAGATGAGCATGGCTTATACATAACCTGAATGCTTATCATAAATAAATACCTTACATAGTGTGGGAATTTTAGGCCAGACCCAGCTGGGCGAACCACCAGCAATCTCCACAGAAAGTGCACAAGCCAGTATATTTATCTCATCTTTGAATTTAGACTTCAACTTACAGCATAAGCACAGTCTAAGGATTTGATACTACAAACACTAGCTTTTAGAGGGCTTTTGAGCAGCTCCTGAGGATCATTATTATTTGCACACTGCAGCAGCCAGAGGCTCCACCTGACACTAAGTCCCTCTATGCACAGGTGTTCAGTAAAAAAAACCCACAGTCTTGAAAGTATGTAAATACAAAATACAAACAAGAATACAAACAGTGATCATGCCTTATAACAAAGCTGGGAACAGAAATCAAGTCTCCTGCTTCCTTGACTTATCTACTTGACCCTGCTGCCACCACATGTAAAATCTTGACAGGATCCTATTCTCAAAGACAGAGTATGTTGAAATGCTAGTCAGATAAAACAATACGACAGATACTGAGAAAGTGCATAATATTGATTTTTATTTGATCTCCCAGCTTAATCCAACACTGAATGAACTTGTTCAGAGACTGATTCTGTACTTGCTTACTGCATAAACATGTGGACCAATAAATGTGCACTCCTGAGAAAAGTAAAAGGCAGGAAAGACATCTCTTTCTGGTTCCCAGTGTCTTTGTAGTGTGTAAATGGCTAAACAAGGTGTAGAATGACAGAAAATAAGATCAGGATTTCCCCCTCGCTGAGAAAAACTTACTTGTGGTCTTGTCCTAGGGATGCTCCAGATCCTTGCTCCACTGAACTAGTGAGGCGTGCAATTTCCTCTTGCAGTGAAGCAATCTTTTTCTTTGCTCTCTGCTCCTTCTCATAGGCTGTATCCACCATTTTCCAGGCCCTGTCAATCTCCTAGGAATGAAATTGAAAACAATTACACAAATTAAATTGTGTTGAAAATGAACAACAAATTAATTGCCTTGTATTTTGGTTAACTAAGAAAATGGATTTTCATGCCTTTTCATGCTTAGATTCACAATAGTTTTCCACACCAGGTGTGTTTTCTTTTGTATGAGGGCATAGCAAACATTTTGAGCTATGTTAATTTACACCACAAAAGCTTTAATACATTTTCCTTAACACACAGATTGGAACATTATCAAATCTCACTCTATGAGGTTTTGGTCATGTCAGACCTACTAACACCTAAAAATTTACTGAAAATTCAGTGCCCACAAAGGTACTACCTGCTTAAATAGCTCACTTATGTCTGTACAAATGTTATTAGCTGTTATGACAATGAACATTCAATTCGATTTGGATGAGAAAAAGATGGTACTCTGGGCTTTTCTCCTCCTTTGTTCATTTTCATCTGTGAGGACCTAGTGTATTTTTATTTTAACTATATATTTAGACAAGCTACAATTCTTATGCCAAATTTCAGCACAGGGACTTACTTTAATGACAGGCTCATGAGCCTCTTACAAGCCCAGGGTTGATATCCACAAATGGGATAGAACAGGATAGGGGAGGAAGGTTCACTCAATTTTTCTAACTTCCTCTGTATCTCTCTCCTTTGAATCAGATCCTTAAGAATCACAGAGCAGGTTTATTCCTTGCCAGGTTCAAACCAAGCTCTTACCAGTTCTAGAATCCCGTGCTAAAAAAAAAATGAGTAAATTCAGAAAGTGGCTGGACTGGAAGAAAAGTTCCCAAAGACTCAGTAAATAATGAAGACACTACTTTTGACACTAGAAGTCCCTGAGCTGCAAATCACAGCATGATGTCCTCTCCCACGCTCTTTTCTCAGCTGGCGCCTGGTGGAGTCCTGGACTTGATGGACATGTACAGATTTAGACTCCTAGTGTGGCTGTGCAGCTCTATATTAGCTCTAGGGTCTCCCCAGGCAGAGCCGGATAGCAGCATCATTACATCAGGCCATAATATGCCTTTCAACTGCTACTTGCATCATATGAAAATGGGACAGGGAAAAAAAATTGAAAACACCTCCAACATGAAGAATATAAAATAATTTCATTTATATCAGATTGTTTACAGCAGTTCTTTATTGAAATTAACATCTCTGGTTCTAAAAGAACCCCATTTAACATTAAACTCAAAATGATGACACCTATACGATGGTATATTAATATATTTATTGAACTCTTTAAAATCAAATGTAGTACTTAGCTGTTTACTGCCTAAATTAAAAATTGAAGCTATTAAACCAGCAGAAGTAACAGGCTACTAGAATGTGCTGAAATGATAACACAAAATATAACATCTGTGGCCTCTTCAAACCAGAGAGGGAATACATTTTCCTTTTATTTATTCATCTGGTTCAGCATATCCGAATTTGAGAAACCATCTGGAACTTAAAGATCAGGAATGTTTGCTCTTCTTTTTTTTTCTCAACCTATTAAAAAAGTCAGGCAGAGGACTTTACTTGTTCAGAAATACTGAAGGAGATTATAGTCAATTAAATTCACTACCGAAAACCAGTATTTTCATTACTCAGTAAATTACTTAGTTCAAAATGTAGTTCAAAAGATGTGCTTTTCACTTCTGCACCAAGCATATTTAAACAGGTTTAAATATTAAAGTCAACTTTTGGTTTATACATTTTGAGTTCTAATTTCCATTCAAATGCTGCAATGATCACACAGAAAGTATTAAGTATCATCTGGTAAATATTAAATTTTCCATTCATTATTATCTTACATAAAAATGTTCAATTATGAAATTTAAATAAATGCACACTAGGCTGAAATAACAGCATGAAGATATAGTGTATCATCTTGACTGGCAGAAAAGCATAAAATATAGCTGTAAATAAACATGTTTCAGATTTGACAACCAATAAGAGGCAACCAACCTTTCTCTAGAAAAATGCAAATGGAAAATAAGATTAAAGCTGATTACTTAAATCAAAGCTTCCTGCTGGCTGATTAGACTGTGATTAAAATTGGTGAATTAAATCATTATGATTGGAGTTTTGGGGGATAGAACTGGTGAATAAAATCAATATGACCTCTGAGAGGTCTTACTGGCTTCAGTGAGTAGTTTGTTCTGGTGAGTATTCACAGCAGTGATCCCTGGAGCCAGTGAGGCCATTCGGATACGCAGTGATTTCAGATCACCCCAGGCTGCGCTTTTTGAACTTTATCTTGCTTTTGATGGGTAAAAACAATGTTATTGAATTTGTATCGATAAAATCAATTTTGATCAGTAAAGTTAGCAGGCACAGATGATGGCCCCATTAATAAGCAAAATCTAAATAAGAATTTGCTACAGACTTTAGCATCAGCAAAACTGGGCTTCTCTGTAGTTGTTTCTTGGTTGTGTCTTTCACCTTGAATTCAACAGATTTCACCTTCATCAACAGATTGCTTCCTTCAACTTCAAAAGTAAAAAGGAGGAAAATTTTGCTGGTGGAAGCCTTCATTGCAAAAATATTCACATTATTTTTCAGTGGAGAGGGGAACCGAAAGAATGCAGTGTGTCAGCATCACTGGGTAATTGCAGTACATGGCTAGGTAGGTAACTTGCATTGCAATCTGTGTATAGTTAAAGACAGAAGTACACTGGATGTTTGCAGTTAGAATCATCCGAAAGTTTTGTGGAGAAGTACTGGAACTCTGGAAATTGTGAAGCAGAATTCAGAAATGTGACTGCCTTAATTTCTTTTCATTAAGTACCCCAAAAGATCACATCAGTTTCACTGCTCAGAAACTGCTAATTACTGAAATGCTTTCTTAGTGTATTGGATTGATCCCCCTGGAAATTGAAAACTTGGTAATTCCAAGCAGGGCAATATCAGCTCCTATAAATTCCCATTCCATCATTCTTGCCGTGCAACCCTGTGGATCAGTATCTCTATCAATGAAAAAAGAGAACTGCATTCCCTTCATGTCCAGCTTGACCCTTTGCTCCTTTGATGACTGTAAACAGCAGACTGCTATGTTCGGTTTATTAAAACTATAAACCAGAGCACTAAGCAACCATCAGGCAGTTAACAGCTATTGATTATCAGTGGCCTGGGTCCTACCAGCCCCTGATCTGTGTAGTTAACCCCTGTCCTACTTATCCTACTGGTTACAACCAAGCTTCACATGGAGAAAAATTTTGCTTCTGCAGCTTTTATTTGTCTATGAAACAATGACCTAGAAGAGGAAAGTTGTGCACCTGTAACCCTGATGATCTATCAGATCACCAAGATTTAGGGCCTTAATTTGAAGGAGCTATTCCATTTTGACAGGAACACCCCCACCAGGATTCTCCTAGCTTTTATAAATAATGAAACAGAGGAACAGATTGTTTGTTTAATTTAGCACTGAAGAATATTATCTTCGCTATTTTACCACTTGAACTTGCCTCATCACTTGCCTTGGACACTCACAAAACACATTGTTTGAATGTTAGTAAAACTGTAGTGAAATACTACAGCTGTAATGGAACTTCCCTTCAGAAAGGAGAATAATGTGGAATACGAAGGGTATACCAAATAAACTCCCAAAACATAACATTTAAACATTTTAAACAACATCCAAGTAATTCCTGAATGTTTAAGGGGAAGACTAATTCTTATAACCAAACTGAAAAAGTGTCAGTGCTCTCTTCTTGGCCCACAGAAAACCACTAGAATTGATACTTTGCCTGAGCTTCAAATCAGCTGCTGAAACTGGAGGCTCTTATTTTTCCTACTCTTCCCCTCCCCAGTTTTATGACATTACTAAGACAATGCCTTCTCAGCTTGGGAACATCTTGAAGGATTGTCTCTGCTACTGTTCACAAAGTCTTGCCATGTAATAGCAGAAAGAAAATTAAAAGGATCGCTGTGGTTCCTGACACCCACCTACTAGGTTTTGCTTAGCAGCAATGAAAAACAACAAGATTTTCTATGGAGTTTTCCTCCTCCTCCTTGAGAGTACCATGGGCTTGCAGGCTGCAGTCATAGGATGACAGCATCCTATTTCTATTTACTCTGAGTGTTATCTTCTTAATAATTATAAGGACAAGAAACTTCATTTCAAAGAACTTTTATTTATGTAGTGCTCATAGATCACTCTGGATTGTTAGACTGAATTTACTTTATTGGAACAAATCACTTGATTGTAAGGCATTGAGGTTTCTCAACTAACCACTAAATTAAAGCCTGTTCAGGTACCACAGCGTAAGTTTTTGTAAAGAGTTCGAAACACAGTCTTCTGATCATTTGGCAGCTTTATGTTTCTGCTAGTCAAACTTCACTGTAAGGCTAAAAACGTTGACTGTTTTTAGCAAGTCACACTCTTTGACTCGACAGAGTTCAAATCAATAATAACAAAGAACACATCAGACTAAATTGATAAAATCACATTGAAATGCTCTAAAGGATCCCTTTAGAAAAAAAATAAAACCACGTTTATTTATGTGGGTTGATGGCACTTCCCTGGTCTACAATCTGTATTTCAGCAAATAAGTAATTTTTTTTTTATGTTCTGGCAGCAGCTGACATCCAAGCAGCCCTTCGGAAATACTAATGAATCAAAAACCGTGTATTAAGTTGAAAATGTGCTATTTTACAGAGGGAAAGTTTAAACAAAATTATTAGTGCGTACTTGAAAGCTGATAAAGTTGGTTTAGTGCAAATAAACACGGAATTTGACTGAGACCTGTAAAACATACCAGGCTGAAGAAAAAAAGCGATTGATTGCACAGCAGAGGTTAAAGAACTGGAGATGCCAGCTCTATACTTAGTCCTCCAGCTAGTTCTCTACATAAAAGAGCGTTCTTATAGATACTTCTCTTACTACCATGCTTTTCTTTAACAATTTCAGATCATTTTTAATTCTATTCAAAACATTACCGTCTTCATTGATGATATAGTTCCCCGATCATCTTTAGAGAGCTTTGTGAGCGTAGCTACTTTAGATGAATTCACCACAAGCTCAGCATTCAGGTTCCTGCATTTCTCCATGAGACGCTTTTCATTTTCATGAGACTTCTTCAGAATAGTATGGAGCTTCTCGTATTCTATTTGGAATTTTTCCAGAGCTTTATCTCCCTTAAGGTGATTGATGACATCTTGGAAGTCTTTTTCCAGTGCTTCAAATGCATTTTCATCTAGATATGGTTTGCAAGACTGAATGAAATGAAATAGATAATCAAGACATAGGAGGAATTTAACATCTCACAACCCCATGTCATGGTTTAACCCCAAGCCTGCAACTAAGTACCATGCAGTGCTCACTCACTCCCCCCAATCCCAGTGGGATGGGGAGGAGAATCAGAAAA